GAACCTCTAGCACTCATTTCTTTCAATGTTTATACACAAATCATTGGCTATATCACAGTGCATAATGAAAAGTTATTTTTGTGGAAGAAATGTTTGAAAATCAATTGAAGCAAGAGTAAGGATTGTTAGTATTTTTAATTAATGAGTTAACCTTTTGATGGTTATTGTAATAATGTATTACTTTTTTCCTGTATTTACATTGCAATAAAATTAGTACAATGAAACTTTTCATAAACATTGTCAATTGGCTTAAAGTTCAAGTTTAAAAAATGACAATTAAGGCATGAATACACAAAGATTTTGAATCAATAATTTAATTACTGTTATCCTAATTAGAACTTGGAATCCTCTGTTTCAGAAAGCAGAAGAATACCTCAGCATTTTAATTATAGGGCTATATATAGAAATATATTTGAGCCCTCAGTTAGAACTATATTATTATTTCAACTTTCATTAATGGAAAAATGTACTTTTAATGATTTTTATTGTACTGATTTCTTACTGATTTAATGATTTCTATTGTACTGATTTAATGATTTTATTGTGTCTTATAATCAAAAAAGTGTCTTATAATGAAAATTCTAATTGTAGTTTAATATCAAAATGGTTTCTTGAGCTTTTGAAATATCAATAGTACTGTGTCTGCAATTTCACCTAATTCTGCACTTTGTAAGGACTCCTAAATGCTTCCTAGTGAGCAAAATGTTAAATACCACCTATTTAAAGTACAAAATTATTATGCCTGGTGTGCTCAAATACAATCATTTTACATTTTTTCACTCAGAAAAAGTACACTTTTTTAATGACTACTCACTTTATTTCTGAATTTTGTCTACTCAATTCCATATGAAACAAATACAATTGAATTGATCATGTTCTCATCACAAAAATGATAATGCAATGAAATGAAATCTAGCTAATTAGCTAGATTTTTTTATTTCATAATGTATATAAACTTCAAAGCATATGGACAACATATATGTTTTATATATATATATATATATATATATATATATATATAATTCAACATAAGAAGCCATTTTAAAATATTTTTTATAGTGTATGCTTTAGTTTATATCTTAAATGTTCCTCAATGGCTCATGCATTAAAGGCTGTGACTTAGGACGCCCTGTAACTTTAAATGGTGACATCAGAAGTTAGATATTAGCAGAAGTGCCTTAAAGGGGATATGTAATTCTAAAACCCTCCACTTTTTCTCTTTGCTTTTTAGATGCCATGAACTGAACATACCTCTCTGCCACATGTTTTTCCAAGGTGTATTGCACCACCACAGCCCCATATCAACAGAGCCAATTGAATATGGACTGAAATCTTTGATGCTATCAACTGATGTAAGACTCTAATTTTTAACTACATTTTTAACGTAAATATTTTGTCACAATGATGGAAACTGGCAAACAGTGTATTTGAATAAAATACAAATGGAAGGAAGCCGTTGGTCTTAAAATGAGTAATTATAACCCTGTGAATGTGTAATGAAACATTACATATTACTAAATGCATAAAGCATTATAATATATTTATTATGTAACTTATATGTATTACTTGATTTTATTATATGTCACATAGGAGTTAGCTAACGTTATGATTATCTATCCTTTCCCAGTAATCACACATATAATAATCCTGGACTGCTCCTTGAAGAGATACTTACTTCCTACAATACCAAATGACTGTCATGGAAATATATGCAAACCAAAAATTCCAAATCCTGTATGGTGAACTATGCCCTTTATTCAGCTCACACAGGTTGAAATAATATCTTCCTGCTTTCCTACAATCCAGGGCCAGCAATTAGAGAATTTCTACATACCAAAGCCCTGGGCTTGTTTCACATGGAACAATCCTTCATCCAGTGCCCCTGCCTCGTCTCATCTTCACTTTCTCAAAAAAATCACAGTAAATTTTCTTATCCATGACTTTGTCATCACTTATTCTGCTACTTTACTAAGCCTGGTACTTTCTTGTGCAGTTCTCCAGAGATTACAGTTCTCCTTTTTCTTTTGAATACTATTTATTCAATACCATTAATTTCCTTAACTACTGACCTCATCAAAGCTGAATAAATTCTCCATTTTAAATACATAAATGTTTAAGTGTGTTTCTGTATTTGATCTATGTGTCTAATAACAAGGATTTTGTGGTATAATTCAACAATTTTATCATTTCTGACTTCTGTGCTGATAAAATATTGTCTATACTGAATAGTTTTACAAAATACATTAACTTATTTATATTACTTTGGCCTCCTAAAATATCAGTTAACAGTATTAAAAATAATTCAAATCAGTTTTAAAAACATAAAATTTAAAGTACTGAAATTTACTAATGCAACATGAAAAGCACTTTTTACTAAAACTGTCAGTAGACTTTTTTCTGGAACTATTTGTAAGGTTTTTATTAAAGGAATTTAAAATTAAGAAGAAAAACATATAACCTCACACTTAGTTTTCAAAAGGCCACATTTTAAACCTGCTTGAAAACTAAAATATTGCTAAATAAACAAGGTTTTATTATTTTATAGTTCTTCATTTTGAACAAGAAGTTTATTGAAGAAACAAGGCGCTTGACTTAAAGGGAAAAATATTGAAGAATCTTTTTTTAAGAGTGATGTACAGCTACGTATGTAGCTGATTGTTGCAGCTCATACAGAAAAGTCATAAAATTGTCCTTGCTTTACAGTGATAAATGAGAAACTTGAAATTCTGCAGTCAAACAAGATATGCCAGAATGTTTATGCTTTTTGTCTCTTCTGCTAAAATTTTGAGGGCAAAATAACTTACTTAAAATACAGTATGCAATTATATCAAAGCACTTAAGCTTTTATTGAAGTTTCCTGGGAAGTCTTATATATTCACAAGGAAATGTTGTATCTGTTGTATTTGTTATACAAAAAGAAATGATATTTTGACATATTAAAGAAATTATGCTGTCTGTTTTCACCCTTTATCACTTGGCTTCCCTTGATTTCTATATCAGATTTTGAGGTAGACCAGTTTAGTTTCTAGTGTTTCTTAGCAGTGTGGAGATTATATGTTGTACAGAAGTCAGGTATACCTAATGAGTATAGAGAAGGAAAAAGGAGAAATGTTTTTTCCAGACTAGAGAAGTATGGGGAATGGGCAGAATGTCACAATAATGAGCAAGGGGTTGAGTCTTCTATATTCTAAGCCACGTCCTTAGAAATGAGAAAATGAGAATAAGATAAGGGAAACCACTGAATTGGTAGATTTTACTCCATGTTGTCTTTTTGGGAAATTCTGGGACCATGAGTTCCCAAGATAATAGCTTTGCCATCACGTGAAAGAAACACATTTAGTGGCCAGATGGATCATGTATCTTCAAATCCCTGAGGATCCTGAAGATGGTAAGTTTCTGGATACAAAAGTGGAATCTCCAGTTTGTCCTGTTGCCACGGGTCATATAATAGTACTTTTCCTTGTCTTTGACCGGGCTGATACATAATGAAACAGTGACATTTAGCTTGCATGTGTTCATAATGAGAACACTGTAGGACCTCTGACACTGTTTTGATATGAACAGATCATTTCTACATCTATTTTTTTAAAAATTTTATTTAAGGAGAAAAAGAAAAAAAAAGCAAAGAAAGGGTACAAGTTATACAGAATTTCAGAAAAATAATAAACAGTAGGAAATCACTAGTTAATGAATTACATATTGTCATCTTAGAAATATTTGTTCAAGTTACAAAATTAAAGCTTATATAGTGGACATTCAAACAGTGAGACCAAATAGTTCTGTTCAATGATCCAACAAAACTCAGTAATATCATTGTCTATCTTATACACTTAAATATACATGCAGTTATATCGTTTAGAGCACTTTCTTTTCCTCTCTATTGTACAATGACTATTACACATTTTGGGTTTTATTGCTCCCACAGTTCTTATTACATTTTTTGGAAGAGAGTAAAACCAAATGTGACATAAAAGAAGAGAGTCAGTCAAATCAAAAGGGTGAACATAATAGATAATGTAAAAACATAATACAAGGTGATCAACAATGGTTACCATAATGCCTCCCGCTATCTCTAATAGAATTGCCTATATCATCAATTATAATAAAATTGAACAAAATAGTAAAGAACGAAACCAACAAAACCAAAACATTGGAGACATTACAGGTCTTCAAAAGTAGATAATAGTCAACCAGAATGGGTGTCATAATGAATCCCACTATCTTCATAGTTGTTGCCTATACTTTTGAACCTCATACTATCAAGCAAAACAGAATAGAGGAACATCAGTCAAAACAAGATGGTGAGAGCAATACAGGGCTTCAAATCAAGTTAATAGTAAATCAAAGTGGATTACTATAATATATCCTGCTATTTTTTAGTTTATTTTTCCCTTAATTAAAAGGATAAAAATAAAAAAGTAAATAATAAAATAGAGATTGAGATAAAAGAGGGCATAACAACAAAACAGCGCAGAAAAAAACATAACCATTTAAGCAAAATAGTGTTTTACCACAAGATAATCCTGACATAAATGTAGTTACCATATTGTCTCTTTCCTTGAAATCTTTGAGTATAACTTCATATACTGTAGCATCAAATATATCAAAACAATGTAAAACCATTCAAGAGAATGACAGTATTACAGGGTATTTAGAATCAACTAACAGAAAATGAACAACAGTTTCTGTATAATCTCCTTGTCTATAAAGGTTTTTGTTTATACTATCACATATAATAAAATCCAATAAGATACAACATGCTAAGACCAATGGAGACAGAAGAGCAAAAGCTTGATGAGACTTCAAAACAAGATGATACTAAATCAGCATTACCTATTATGATGTTGTTTTCTCCAAAATAGCTGTTCCTATCATCCAGTCTTCTCTGCCTCATTTCTGTTGAGCTCTTTTTCTGTCATTTGTTGTAAGTTTGTCTTCTTCATTTCGCTTTCTGCTCCATTCATTGTGGCCTCTCTGCCACTATTTCTGGAATCTTGGTATTTTCCTTTTTTAGAATATCCTGAAGTATTCTCTGTAAAGTTGGATTGGTGGTTGCATATTCCCCTAGTTCCTCTTTATCCTGGAAGCACCTTGTTTTTCCATCAATTTCCAGGGATAGTTGTGCAGGACATTTCAATCTTGGCTGGAGGTTATTATCTTTCAAAGCTTGAATTATTTCCCCCCACACTCTTCGTGATTTGATGGTTTGTGCCGAGAAATCTGCTGTAATTCTGATGGGTGTACCCTTGTAAGTGATCTGTTTCTTGTCTCTGACAGCTTTTAATATTCTGTTCTTATATTGGATTTCTGGTATTTTGATTATTATATGCCTGGGTGTAGCTCTGTTTGGGTTGTAGGTGGCTGGGGTCCTGAATGCTTCATACATCTGAGTATCTTTACCTTTTGCTAAATTAGGAAAATTCTTCTGGATTATTTCTGTGAGTAGCTTTTGTAGTTCATGTCGCCGTCTCTCTACATCTTTTTTCTGAAGAAGCAAGTTTAATCATTCTGATGAAGGGAACTACATCTACCAACCATTTGAAAACAGCTACATTAAACATCCTAATTACATATAATTTTTTTAGTCAAGTAATATCTAATGTGCAGTGAAATCAATCTTTTCCAATTCATCATAGTTTACAACACTCAAACACAAAAAATGGAGGACATGAAAAGCTATGAAGTCACTGAAAACAAGTGGATACTTTGAGATTTAATGGAGGTTAATTTGAAAATGATGTTTCTTGAAAACACAATAATGCAATCAGATGCAAGAAATAAGTTGGTAAAATTTCTATATAGTTTTATAAATCTAATTTTCTATGATTTTTCCAGTTAAAATTAAAAACTAGACCTTTACCCTCCTAATCCATTTTCTAGGTTTCTTTTCTTCCTTTCTAGTTTTGTATTGAGACTGCTTACTTTTAGTGTTTACTTTAATAAGTTTTATATATTCCTGAAAATGATTTACTAAATCTATGAAACCCAAGAGGTTGACAAATATTTCATTATACTAAAAATTATTGTAATAATTTTTACTCGTCAATAAATTATTACCAAGTAGACAAAATGTATTATTAGGATATCCCAGGGCTTACATAAAAAATGATAGCAATTTTATATACATAAAATTTAAATTAGCTTAATAAAATACTGTTTAAATCAAAGAACATGCTATTTGACCACAATGACTTCCAAAATAAAGTCTGACTACAGGAGCTTTGTTCATCTGTTAAGAATCATTTATATATAAAACATATATTAATATGTTTTAAATCAAGTAAAAATATAGATATATGATTATTTGAGATGATGTGTTTATTTTATTAAAAGTTTTAGAGACTATCCTTTTTTATTAAAAAGTATATATGTGTATAATAGAGAAGAACATTTTCTAGAGTCACTGGTTAAACAGCCTCAAAGTTAGTTTGCTATTTTGGTTTATTTTTAAAAATATGATCTAGGAACCATCATCCTGTGCTTATTTACAATGCACAGTACTAAATCTACAATGAGTCTTCTCAAAATAAATATGCATTTTAATAGAAGCTGCGGGTAATTTTAGATACTTTAATGGGTTGGTGAAGCAATTTGAGATTTAATCTGCCTACTTACAATTTAAAAAAAAATTTAAAAAGTTGTTAATAATTAAATGTAACTATCAAGAAAAAGTGTTCAGAATAACATGATACTGGTGAAAGAGGAAGTGTCATGGTGTATGTTGTGTCCCCCAGGCCTCATGAGTTTGCATCGTGCATTTGTGATTGGTTCATCGTCTAGTGCTTGGATTGATGGTCTGAGTGCTCCACCCACAGAGGGGTGGAGCCAGGATGTGATGTAATGACAGGAAGACGGTGTGTCAGGCTCTTTTGCTGGTTTCAGCCTTGCTGTTTGCAGCCTCCATGAACTGCGGCTATGCCATGCCACCCTGCCTTGGAGCCAACTGAGTATGGACTGAAACCACCAAAAACTGTAAAAAAAAAATCTTTCCTTTCCCACTTTGTGGGATATTTTGTCTCAGCAATGAGTAAAAAGTAACCAAGACAATAAGCAAAGAGATAAATGAATGCAATAGTGAGCCCATAAATAGCAACACAGAAATATAATCAACTGTGTATCGGTAAAACACATACAAAGTAGGTAGACTTAAATAAATGACCATGAAAATACTGGACATCTGGTTGTAAAACAAATTAATGTAGATATAAACTTTATAAACTTCACAAAAAGTAACTCAAAGTGGACCATGTTCTTAAAAATAGACTTCAAAACTGTAAAACTCATGGAGGATAACCTAAAAGAAAGCCTAGGTGACTTTTTGATGATATCTCTAATAACAAAGATATTAAAAAATAGTTGAAAACACTCACTTTATTAAAACTGAAAGCTCCAGCCATGCAAAAGACAACAATAAGAAAATGAAGCCACAACTCCACAGACTGAGAGAAAATGTTTCTTCAGTAAACCTCTAATGAAAGCAATATTCCAAAATGTGCAAGCACTCCTTTATAATAACAGTAAGAAAAAAATTCTGATTGCAAAAATAGGCAAAAGATTTGAGCAAAAGTCTCAACAAACACAATGATAAATGACAACATGCATTTAAAAATGCTTATAGTCACATGTTTGGAAGAGCTCTAAGATTCCCATCACCTTTGGTTGTCGGTTTCTACTTTCTTCAGCCTTCCAGTGCAGACTTACACAGATGTCACGCTAGTCAGTTTCCAGGCTTTTGATCTTGGACTGGTGCTGTGTCCTTGATCCTTCTTGTCCATCATCCTGGGTTGAACAACTTCTGTATCTTCCAGTTCTCCCTCACACAGATAATCACTGTGGACTTTTCTGCTTCTCATTCTGTAACCTTACTAAAAAAATCCTCTTGAATAAATGTTTGTATTTTCTACTTATGTTGTTCCTCTGGAGTACTCAAACAAATATGTCAACATACTAATTCCAACTCTATGACTTTGTGGAATACTGAAATCTGCAAGGACAGTAAAATGATTAATGGTTTTCAGAAATGATTAGAGCTTGAGGGAGAGGGATACTTAGCCAGCAAAGGATATTTAGGGTGATAAAATATTGAGTTCTGATGAAGTGTATATGGTCATATATTGTCTTAATCTTTAGAATATACAACTTCCAGAATGAATTCAAAAGTAAGTTGTAGATATAGTAATAATGGTTTATATACATAGTTTCATAAACATCTACAGATATAATGCTCTGGTGAGGCATATTAATAGTATAAAGATTGTATAAATATGATGAGAAAAGTTTTCAAGAATTTGTAACTTTCATTTAATTTTTGTGTTTTTCTAAGACATAGTTTATTAAAATTGATTACAAAAATATCTTGTTAATTAAGATAAATACAAACAAGTTAATGTGTTTGTATATTTACAAATGTGCATATGTATGCACAAAGTCTTTATAAAATGATTAAATTCATCATGAGGAGGTGATACATGTAAAAGACTCAATTAGTTATTTTTTTACTATTGATTTCTCTGCTTCCCCCCTTCAATCTTTTGTTTTGTAGATTCAGTCTTATCCAAATTTTTCTGTAACACATTTGGGAAGTGACTGGAAGTTCATTTAAATTTTACAGTATTAAAATAAATATTTTTAGGCTGATTCTCCATGAATTTCTCCTAACTCTAAAAATATGCTAGGCAAAGTGTGAATGCTGAAGAAAAAAAGGGCAAAGTATAAAATCTAGTGCCTTTAATGGACCTTGGATGCAATTCCTTGTTAAATGTTTTCTACTAACTTCAAACTCCCGAAGGGAGAACAAATGCCATAAGGCCATGAGTACCATAAAACAAAATGACGAACATTGTAGTCATTCTTCAGGGTTCATTTTTGAGAATGCAAAACTAGTGATTATTGTAAGAACTGGCAGCACTCTTAAAGTAAATGCAATAACCAAACTACACTCGGTGCTGTCACATACATTTAATCAGAGGACACTGCAGTCTATATACCATTGAAGAGTCCATTTATCTATTCAGTTATTCTGGATTCATTTTTGTCAAGAAATTTTTTATCATTGAAATTTTATACTTAGAATATATTTAAAAATGTAGAATTTTAAAACTTTCTAACATTTTTCTACTGATGATGTTTCATTGTGATATTTATTATTACCTTCTGGGTTTCCTACTACAAAGTACAAAATTGACCTTGTTGAATAGTTGATATCATTTTATTAATAGTTATGCATTGATTGCACAATTTATGTAACTGGTCAATAATTTGCTATTCTTTTTGAAGAATACACACTATATACAAAGTAAAAACCTGCATAAACATCCCATGACTTTATAAGTTATACTTTAGGTCCCAAAATATTCATAAATATATTTTTGTATTTTTATAGCAATATAATATTTACTTCTGTATGTTATAATGATATTTTATATTTAGAAAAATTATATTTGCTGTTTATAGTTACTGCAAATGATTAAATTATTTTATAGGTGTAAAAATTCAGGTAAATACAGACTACTGCACCCTTGAAAATTGGTCAACTGTGTACTCAAAGAGGGTTTCAATCACATTAAATAGTCTAAATTTATTTAAGTATGATATTTTGATATTCTGTTCCTCACCATAATCAAAGACTCTAAAGTCAAAATCAACCAAATTATCAATTCAAAGCAAAACTACACTATTTCCAAGTATAAAGTCAAAATTAGTAGATAGCAGTGAAGATTTTTGTAATCGTACATTATTACATTCTAAAAATTAATGTTTTTTCTAACCAAATGTCTTGTTTCTCTAGAAAGAAAAAAAGAAAAAGAAAAAAGTGTGTGGCACTGGTTAGAGAAAAAGAGATATAACATTTCAGAGGCAGTTTAAGTAGCTCAAGATCAATAACTAGTATTCCCAAATAAGTTGCTTTATGTTAGACTTTTCCCTGCATTAGACATTGCTGATGCTCTACTTCAAACCAAGGGAAAAACAGAAATATAAGAGTAGTCTTTAACATGGGGATGATAATAAATGCATTGCTTATAGGTCAGTGAGTTGACAATATTATCCTGAAGATCAGTAAATCTATTGTATCTTTCCACATTAATTACTACACAGTCATATCCATGAACTGTTCCATTAAAAGAATAGATGAAGAAAAGTGAATGCAAGGAAATTATACATTCTCCATATAATTTTACTTTAGTGACACCTGGTAAAATACACACACACACACACACACACACACACACACACACACACACACAAATGCTAACAATGTGAAGACAAAAAAAATAGCAGGACATACTTGGCAAATGTGTGGCTTGTGTGTGTTTCTGTGTGTTGTACTGTTGGCTGCAGTTAAAAGAATGCATAAAGGAGAGAGAAATTTCCTTACAAAAATCATGTTATAATTTTGAATTTTAGATAAAAGGTGATCAAAGTAGTATAGTATATCATGTATCTTCACCATCAAAGGAAGACTACGCATTGCTCAACTTTTTAATTAAAGTTTATAAAACTGTATAATAGGCTAGTAACCAAAAATATCAAAAGGTTATAAGCTATAAGGTCATTCAAAAGAATATGGAGTTTTCTCAATCTAGAGTGCGTTTCATGCTAATCAGTAAAACATGCTACCTAGAATGTCATTTAATTACAATGAAATATTCAGTAGCTATTTAAAATATATGGTAAGATTTACAGACAAAGATCAAAGAAAAGTTTCACTTTTGGCAGAAAATTTAATAATGTTTTGTTAATATCTTATTAAAAGTATAATTTGATCCTTTTTTGATTTATCACTTAAAACTTTGCATTTGAAAACATTTGCTTTGCTTTGAATTATTAAGATTTTGCTATTTGTGTTTAGTGAAGATAACTTGTCTTATTCATAAAATCAACAAAAAAATTTTGAAAATTGTGTTGTAGCTCTGCATTTAACATCTCTACAGAGGAATACAATTGAATATAAATATCCAATGAATATAATTGAAAAACAAAATTCATTTTATTATTCCCTGTGGATCCCTCAAATTGTTTATTAATTTTAGTGTACATAATATAATCAAAAAATAAGGTATACATTTAAATTTGTAAAACTATCACTGTAAAAAGCACATAAACATTAATTCCCATTAAACTCTCTCCTTTCCTTTAAACATATTTCTTCCACCATTCTCGTCACTTTCTGAAGCAGTTCTTAGTTTTTAGTGAGTGTTTTGTTAAATCTGTTTCCAAGTTTCACCTACTCTGAAAAATTGGAACTATTTTATGTTTGTTTCTTTATTTTACTTTATTCAAAATTTTAGATTTTAAAGAGAATTTTAAAATATTTTCAGGATTATCTGTAAATTGGAGTTTGTGGCTTAAGGTATAAAACATAATTACTGGGTTCAGACTGACTTTTTTCTTCAAATTAGTGACTCTACTGACAGTATAAATTAACTAACTTCTCCAATATACTATTTGTCTCGTGTAATTTTAAAAATATATAATCACAATGATAATTTGTCATCTGTTAGCTTGTAGACAAACTGGGCACATGTGAAAAATTAAAGAACTGCTAGATCTTGTTAGTAAGTGACAAATGGTCAATTTTTTTAACAACTCAGATTCAATATATCGTGCAGTGGATCGAGCCCTCTGTTTGGCAAATAATTTTTCTTTCACTGCTTCCAACATTAATTGTTATATTCTTCTTTCTTTTTAGTGTCCAAACTTCCACTGTTGCTCTGATAAACTTTATTTCTAAGCTAGTGAGTAAACTGTCCATGCAATACTTGTTCAAAGAATACAAAATAGAAAAATATAAAGGAAAATATTTCCTCTGATAATTATTTCTTGGCAGCACAAAGGCATATGATATTAGATAAGGTGCTTATACATTAAAATTTCCACATTTCTAATAAACTGTCATAATTTATATAAGAAATTATGCTCCCATTTCCCAGCTAAAGCTCTTTGAACTGACTTTTCAAACTTGACAGGAGAATTCAGCAAGAAAATATTCTATCATGCGTTTATGTTAGAAATGACTGGATGAAAAAATTTAATGATAGATGACAGTGAACTGTAAAACTTTTGTGTCATAAAACTAGTGAAACATGAAATTACCCAAATCAATTGCTTAAATAACTTAATAACTTGAAAATTTGAAATTTATTCATAGATGGAGGACAAAGAGGAATTACAATATATCAATAAAAGGTCACTGGAAAGTCTTCATTTTAAGGATTTGCCCTCAAACTGTATTTCACCATTTCTTCTTAACTCTCAAATCTCTGTTAAAATTTACTGTTGTGACAAATTTTAATATTAAATTCATAGGTGAGCAAGCAGATATATTTTCTTTGGTAACAGGTCAAATGGCAGATGAAAAATTCAATACACTATTAAGAATAAGAAGATAGATTTCAGATAAACTCAATTAAAATAAAACTGATTAGAAATAAACACATATGGGGCCTGTGATCTTAATGATGAAAATGATTTATTTTACCAAATAATATTTGAAACTTCAAATATATATTGTTATTCCTTTTGCATTAGTAAGGCTTACATAATGATTTGAAAAAACTTTCTGAGGAGACAGCTACTCAAAGTGATTTAATTATGATTTTTAAGTTTGATCAAAAGTTATTTTTGTCTCCACAAAGAAGAAGAGTAATAAAAGTAGCTAAAGTGAGGGCATTGTAGTTAACTTCTATATGACACAATGTTTTAAAATCAATTCTTATTGAGCTATTCTTATTATTATATCCACTTCTATTGTCATTAATAAATATATGTCATATTTCTTGACAAAACCATGGTCCATTTAATCATTCAACATTGTTTACACACACACACATACACACACGTGCATGCACACATGCACACACGGACACAGGAGGCTCCAAACAGTGACATTGTGCAGACAACTACGGCACAGACTTGTTTAAGGACCCCTAGCAGCCCAGCAGAGACACATGTCACCACAAAGTGTAGGAATATTTGATATAGATATGTTCCTAAAACATTAAGATTTGATGGAGAAGACATATAATTAGGTGAGAGAGGCAAAAGAGGGCATTTTGTGTCTGTGGGGAAAACAAATTCAAAGAAATTTATAAGCTTCAGCAATGTATTATTATGCAGATTGAGGTTAGAGCAGAGATGAAGGATCCAACCTCTGAGGATGCTGAAGAAGGGTAAAGAAGGGAAGTAGTGAAACTTGAACTCTTGAGGAAGAGCTTGCAAACTGAAGGGGACTAAGCTTAATGATCTCCTTGAACTGTGCGAACTGAATGCCCCGGAATCCTATAACAATGGCAAGCCATGAGTGACACATTTAAGGGGATGGCAGGGATTCAGATGAGAATGACCTAGATCACATCTTTTCTTTATTTTACAAGGTATGCATGTAATGTGCGAATGTGCATTTCTGTATCTATAAATCAGTATTAATTTAAACCTGCTCATTAGTGTCTTAGTTACTGTTCTTGTTGCTGAGAGAAAATACTCAGCAGCCAAATAAAGGAGGAAACATACCTTTAGCCCACAGTTAAAAGATTTGAGTCTGTAATTGGCTGGCTCCAAGGGAGGTGTCATGTCAACAGGCACTGGGGAGGAAAAACAGTTCATGGAAGGGTTCAGGTAGAAAAGCAAGAAGGGACACCCATAGCTCTTTCTATCCCTTATATCTCATCCAGGACAAAATAGGATGAGTGGCACTCACACCCTTATTCCTAGTGCCCTAGCAATGCACCATGAATCAATTCCAGCATCCCGCACTCTAGATCCAGTCACCTAAAAGCCCCACCAATGACTGCGTGAGAGCTGGGAAGGCATCTTTACACAAGCCAAAATTAAATTTAAATTTGTTCATTTGATAGGTTCTTTAGTAAAGGAGAGGTGATATTATGCATTAAAAGTAGTGCTATAGTTTCAAAATGAGGAATTCTATCCCAATTAATTAACAATTTGATGCTTAGAAAATAATTTATCAGTCTTAGTATTTCATTCTTCATAGTTGTGTAAGATTTACGCTACTTGTCTAAGGTTACCAAAAATGCATAGAAAAATATAATTTAGTATAAATCTACCTTAGAAAAGTGTAAATATATTCAATGAAAACAAGATTCTTTGGTTAATACATAGTGGGACCAATATATAGGGCAAAGGTTTAAACTGTGTAAAAACTTACACTGTCTGAATTTCATCTCCACTGAAAATGTTTTTTTTTCAATCATCACCTTCTGCCTTTGTTTTACTAAAAGAATTTCTAAATGATCTCCTTGATTTTAACAAATCACACGTGCTAAAATTCATCCTTTATGCAATGGAATAACACATTTTAAATGTTATATTTTCAAATGTGTCAAAAATAGGAACAATATTATATTGCCCTTACAAAGTATATTCAAATGCTCACCTAAGGCATAGGCCCGTCCATGAGCTGTGCTGGCCCATTTATTTGATCTTGTCCACTATTCTACTCATAATCACTTAATGCTACTCAAGTTGTACTGGTTTCCATGGTGTTCCTCATTCAGGCCAGCCCTATTAATGATTCAGGTCCCCTATACCTTCCTCTTTCAGCTAGGAACTTTAATGATATCATTGTATTTCTGTTCCTTTTCAGCAGATTTCTCAGTTTAAAATTCAGTTTATCACAGATGTCTTCCTTCATCATATCACCTAAAGCTAAGGTTAACTTTATTGTTGTTGATGCATTTCTGAGTTAAATTATTTTTTCTTGCTTTTTCTGCATGCTCTATCTCAAATTTAATACTTGGAAACAGGGTTGTTTTCTTCATTTGCCGCCTATTTGTGCCACTTAAAATAGAAGCTGACACACAGCAGATGACACAATGTACGGAATTGAAATTAGTTTGGTATGAGAGTTTCTTCAGCAATTAGAGAAAACATTGTAACTACTGTCTAGATAAAATGAAAACATAGAGATATCTAGAAATGATACCGATTGTAAAAATATCTCCTAAACTAGAAAAATAAATTATTTATAAAATTTTTACAACAGGTCTATATCACTTACATGTGAAATAAGCACTACTTATTAGAAAATAAAGTTTGATTAATTTTTTTTCAGAATCTAATAACTGCCAAGCACAACTGTTAATGTTGCAAAATAAATATACTGTAGAAAATTACATATGAACCACTGTGGAGAGATTGGAATATAAGTAAGTAAATATTAAGTCTGAGAACAGAGGTGTGAACCTCACAGAGCAGAGGTATGGACTGAAACCATGCATCACATATGAGGACATAACTCAGAAAGAGTTAATTTTACACATTTTAATTTTTTGTGTCGTAAGAATTTGAAATCCACTGCACATTTCACAACTATAATGCATTCTAATTTAGACTATATACCTCTTAAATGTTCATTAGAGTTAAGTGCAGTACAGACCTGTAATTTCAGCCTTCTCCGAGTGTAAGCAGGATGATTTCAAGTATGATCCCAGCCTGGGCAGCTTAACGACTTACTGATACCATGTCTAATATACCCACATGCACACACAGGCACATGTGCGCGCGCGCACACACACACACACACACGCAAGTAAATGATTACAGTCACCTAAGGTTGTAAAGCTCAATTCAAAAGCCCAGAATTCCATGTCTAGTATGGAAAAAAGAAAAAGAAAGTATTCAGCACAAACATGTTCCTACAATCATATCATACCAGCTTATTCCAAGCAAGAGTCTGTCTCTTTGGTCTTGTAATCAGATTGTAAATGACTGGCTCGCTTTTCCATGTATTGAGTTCTGCTCACTTTGCAGCAAATTGAAGTTCCTCAATCACATGTCTTGTATGTATAAATGATGGCAAATGACATAAATGATAATGTGAGCCAGCAATGAAATATTCTGCAGATCATCAAAAGTTGTGAGTCAAATGTTAGGATTCCTTTAAATGTGCATGTCAGAACAAGAGATCCAGAAAATAAATATATTATAAAGAAAAAATACAGAGGTAGGGATACTAGAAACAAAATACATATCCATATACATACATGGCACATATAGGTGAGAGAGATGTTAAAGAACTAAATTAACAATCTTGTGGGCTGTCATGGTCTCACAACTTCAGAACTGTATAGAGTGATAGAAAGTTGGTATTAACTGTGATGAAGAGTATATTACAGAGAAAAACTGAATTAAATTAATAAGTAGTTTACCAAAGTCAACCGTAAGAATTGAAACTACTTTATAAGTTAACATTGCAAGGCCCTGATACTTTAGTGTTCATAATTCACTTTTTTAAAAAGGTCAATTGGAGCAATTCTGATGCACAGAAAACTCTCACATCTAAAATTTTATCAAAGTAAAATAGCATCTTCATAGTACCAAATATATTATTAATACATTCAGTATTATGGTTGTATTAATTTAACTTTATAATTATATCTACTAGTTTAATCATTAGACACAACTTAATTGTTTTACGCACCACTCTTATTACAAATTCATACTTTGTTTTTATTTTTTACCCTAACTAAAATTTATGATTTAGTCTAGCACAAGTCACACCATTCTAACCCATATTCTAATCAACCCATGTGCAATTTTCAGAAACAAGTTATAGCACAATTCATATTGTATTAGGCCATCTTAAAATAGGCTTATTATCTGAACTGCCGGGATTCAATTTAGCTGTAAGGTCATATAATGAACATGAGGCTAGTAATGATTCATTTTCTTCCATAATTTAATAATATTAACTTAGTAGCTTGAAAAATGAATCAACAAAGTCCTATGAATAGATTAACAGTGTTTAAAAATGTAAAGCAATGATAAAATATAGGTTATTTCACTGAAATTGTTAACAAAATTCACTCCAAAATTTATGGAAGCAAAGTAGTATTTTATTGTTAATTGCTATAATATGGGATTAATTAGGCACCTCCAGAAATGTATTAAAACTCTAGGGTACCATCTGGTAAATTAGCACTTTAGTACATCAAAGGGTACCTAAATCATTATAGTGCTCACTTCCTTCTTATGCTAACCCTGAACTTTTCAACTATTAAGGATAAAGATTGCTCAGGGCATTTAAATTTGGAATATGAAGTACGAGACTATGACTGACAGTGTTTGATGGATTCCTGGGAGGCAAGTGGACCTTCTCTTTCCTGATAACTCAGACATGAAACATGTAAAAATCATATGGATGAGACTAGAAACCTCTTCCACGTGGCCTATGCAGCAGTTTCTCTTCTTATCCTATTCTTTACCTTTACTATTTGATAGTGTGCAATCTACTACAATCTAATAGAAGTAATAATCTAGCTAAGTGCTCATATGTTTATCATTCTTAAACAACATATTCAATTTTATATATTGTGCAGCATTATTGTACACTTGCATAATTAGCTTTATTAATTTGATAATGTTTGCATTCATATTTGTATTGATTAAATTTTTATATTAATGTTTAATAATTAAATGCATGCTCATATGGCACATATTCAGTATATGCAATAAATATTTTTAAGTTGCACATTATTATATAGAAAACTTTCAGGAAATCTACATCCTAGTCCTTGTGACCCTTTCTATACTTATAATGGTTGTTCGTTTAGTGCATGTGTCTGCAAAAGTTTGTCTGTGCTCTAAAGATATATCATATACCTGCATGCATAAAAAGTGTATTTCTTAAGTGCATAGACATTAATAGGCATAGACAAATGTTACATATGCTATGCATAAGTGTGCATATTTATCATCATGCCTAGATTTGTCTTCCATATCAAAATAATATTCTTTGGTGCCATTCTTAGTATTTTAAGAGAAGCAAAATGTTTCATAGTGGTAAGCAATTCTTTGTTTTTTCACAGATTTACAGTTTTATGTCAGTTTTGTTCTCTTTGATGTAGCTAATACAAACAATAAAATGAATATTAACTCACATGACATGATATTTACAGGCTGTGCATTTTCAGGAAAGTGAAAACCACATCAATATAAAATATCCAAATACTTAAGTTATTTTCCCAGTATGTTTATAGCCACCTTCAGAATGGCATTATGAGTACCTGACAATGTGTCACATACTTTCACATTCATTACTAGAAAAAAAGACAATCATATATAGTGAGAAATTATATTAAATATTATTTTCAAGTTAGCTATGGTGGCATTACATTCCCACACTTAAAGAGTGGATTGCACAACATTTATGTCACCCACTCTGTTCTTCTTCCATAGCTCCGAAGGAGCTTATGAAACACAATACCTGGGGCGGGGAGTAAAATTTTTACTACCAGGAAAGAGATGAAAGAATGGCTATTAGACAATCAACTGGATGTGTCTGCCATACATTTTATATTCTCTGAATCAGTTTACCAAATGTGATAAATGATGTTTACAAAAATATCATTTTGTATTTCTTCTATGATTTTCTAGAGAATTTCTAGAATTCTAGAGAAATTCTAGAGAATTTCTGGAGAATAGTTGCAAAGAAAAAGAGGGCTGTATTATGGAATTCAATAAAAACATACAAATATTCCATTGACTTTCATCATATGTTGCAACTTTCTATCACTGTGACAAAATACCTGACAGAGACAACTCAAAGAAATAAAATTTTTATCTTATGGCTTTGGAGGTTTTAATCCATACTCATTTGGCTAATCTTTTTCTGGGTGTATGGGGAGGCAGAGCGCCATGGAAGGGCATGTATAAGGAGCAAAGCCACTAACCTTATGGCGGTAAGCTGGGGGATGTATCAGGGTCCATTATATCCTCAGTGGCCTATTTCCATCAGTCCTCAAATTCTAAAGCTTCCATCACCTTTCAACAATACTTTATGGTGGGAACATGTCTTTAGAACATAAACTTTTCTGAGGCATTCTAAATCCAAACTATGTCACATGTAACACATAAATATTTGCACATTGATGATTACAGGATGCATTGCTTAATGGCAATGAAAGAGCTAGTTAAAATTATGTCACATTAACAAGCAATTAAAAGAAATTGTCATAAACCAAGTGGATAATTTTATCAGCCTGTAGTTATACACATGACCAGCATAGCACTTAATGCAGGGAGACGAGCCCAAATTTTCAATGTTATTTGAAAGGTAATAAAAATGAATTTAGTATGTGTCAACTGGTAATTTGATTCTTTTTCATTTTTGAGGAACAGCTCTTTTTATCTTATATTTTTATCAATTTGGGATAATTTTGAATTCAGGGATAAATATGAACACACATATATGATATGTAAGCTAGCATATCTATTACCTATCTATAGGTAAATATATATGTATATGTATAAATATATATAGTATATATATAAATACATACATATATATATATATATATATATATACAGAGATGGAGAGAGACAGAGAGAGATCACTTACTTTCCTAATTAGCAACAAGTTTTTCAAATCTTTTTAAAATAGTGGTTGACAAATTAATAAATTCTAATCTATGCTTCTTTCCTATTTTGACTCTAAATTTTATTCAGAAGAGGATTAAATAACTGAATATCTTAAATATATTTTCATGTATTCATTTTTTTCTTGTTGCTTATTCACTATTTGAATTATGTTGGGAAATTGTTTCTCAAGAATCATTATTTCGGGGCTGCGGATTTAGCTCAGCGGCATAAGTGCCTGCCTTGCAAGCAGGCAGTCATGAGTTCGATCCCTGGTACAGATAAAAACGAAAAAGACAAAAAAAAAAAAAAAAAAAAAAAAAAAAAAAAGAAAAGAAAAAAGAAAATAATCGTTTCTCACATTTTGAACTTTTTATGCATAATTCATTGATCTACTATATGTGAATAACAATAAATGATTTAACTGTCTAAGGCTGGAGAAAGCTACTTTTTTTCAAGTGGTTGCCAACTACCCAAAACCATTCATTACATGGTTCTTCCTGATTTTAAAGACAATTACAACAATCAATTGGACAAAACTTTTACTCATGAATAATCCATTGCTATAGAAATTAGCATATTGTCATAAATAATAGAAAAGTTTATAAAACAGAGCTCTAGTTTTCAAGTTGTGTTTAGGATGAAGGAAAGGATGCAAATTTCTAAGAGAACAGAACAACTAGTACATCACGTGGAAGTGGATTTGAAGATATAGTGCAAGAGTACAAAATTCAAATATCCAAGGAAATTAAAAGGACAGAATATGGTAAAAATATCCTAAAAGTAAGTGACAAGGAGCTAAACAGTCAATTTTTTTTTTCTAAATGAGAAAAGCACTTAAAATATATATTGACCAAAGTGATGTAAGAATGAGTAAAAATTTTAGAGTTCAATATTGCCTGTTACTAATACGATTCAAATTAAATCCACAGTGAAGTAGCACTATGTATAATCGACAATTGCCACAATTAAAGAGGCTAGTAATTCCAAGTGTTTCTAGTGAGTTAGAGC